TGGGAGCTGCAGGTGCTGAAGGCCTTGGACCTGCCCTGCGCGGAGCGAATGCGGAGGATGCTGGCGATGATGAAGATGTAGGAGCCCAGGATGGTCAGGGTCGGCACAAAGATATTAAAAGTGCTTAAACACAGAACTACTGTTTCATTAATAAAAATACTGGAGCAGGAGAGTTCCAGGAGAGGGAAAAGGTCACAGAAGTATTGGTTTATTCTATTTGCCCTACAGAAATTCACTCTCAGCATGCAGACAGTGTGGGCCGTGGCACCAATCAACCCCAGGCCATACACGCCAGCCACCATCCAGGAGCAGACTCCACGGGACATGGTGACGTTGTAGAGCAAGGGCTTACAGATGGCCACGTAGCGGTCGTAGGCCATGGCAGACAGCATGTGGCACTCGGCGATAACAAAGACAAGGAAGAAGTAGAGCTGAGCCATGCACTCCGGGTAGGAGATGGTGTTCTCTGTCACGAAGCTCACCAGCATTTTGGGGGTGATGACAGTGGAATGACAGAAGTCAATGAAGGAGAGACTGCTGAGGAGAAAGTACATGGGGGTGTGCAGGTGAGAACTGAGCGCGATCAGCACCATCATGCCCAGGTTCCCCAGCACCGTGAGCCCGTAGATCCCCAGGAAGAGGAGGAAGAGGGGCAGCTGGAGCTCTGGCTTCTCTGTTAGCCCTGCCAGGATGAACTCAGTCACTGCGGAGTGGTTTCCTGGGGCCATTTCTTCTTGGGGCAATCTATGTAGGGAGAGAAGAAAAAAAAATGAGGTAAGAATGTATTGTCTCACCAAATATTGAGATGTGAAAAAGAATTCCAGTCTTCTCAGCCAGGTATCAGTTCTCTGAGAGTTTCAAGTTAGCAGTTATAAAATAAACAGTCATAAGCTTTGGAATCACAATACCTATCAGATAGGTAAATGGCTATCATATAAAACCATCATATTTGTGTTCTATGCAGTGAGTGGCTGTTAGTATATGCAGTGTCTCACTGAGGAACAGATCTGATGACTTCGATAGACTGTGCCAAGAAATTCTTGTGCCTCAAAGCACAGATACAGATTGAACTTATTTTTCTTACTAAGAAGGCTTGGCTACAGCCTGGCAGATTCATCTTGTCTTGTTAGCCCAACTGTGCTAAACACAGTTGAAAGAAATATGTGTTGAACCATGACAAAGACAATTTTCTCTCATCTGATGTGTCATTGCAAAACATGGATTTTCATTTTCAGGGAGGTTTAGGAAATTCCTATTGTGTATGGAGATTGGACTCCAGGAAGTCCCGCCACATTCTGACGTCAAAAGGCTCTGGGAAAATGGAATCTGGGTACTTACTCTGGATCGTCCTGGAAGTTTCTGTCCTGGTTGTGAGCGAGCTACAGATCAGGCACCCCGAAGTGAAATGACTCGACGTTGCTGGTGGCAGTACAAATGAAGACTGTGTTCTCGCCTGGACTTGGGGATCAGGACACAGATGTCCAGTTGTGAGGTGCTCACGCACTCGGTGAGCCAGGCCAGGGCCCCTCCTCGCTGCGCCAGACTCCGAGCAGCTGGCTCAGCGCACCAAGAGTCTGGCTGTGGAAGAGGCTCATGAAGCAGACAGGAACGCCCCTCAGGACGCCCTTCCACAGGGACGGGCTGTTGGGATGTAATTAAAACTGACTTTTGAATCCTTTGTCTGCAGCGCTCATTAGCCACCATGGAGGACACCTGTGCTCTGCCATCGTAGTAATCATCACCTTGTGGGACTTGGAATGAAAGCCCAGCGGCGCTGAAGCAGGTCAGGTCAGGAAGCTGGGGCCTGAGTGAGGATGGCCAAGCACGGGCATGTGCCTCGCGGTGTGGATGGACAGTGTGGACAGACGGGCCTACAGCCAGAGCAATTCCACGTATGACTGAAATGTTCTCCTCTCAAACAAGTGCCGCGCAGGGCAGCTGGCCGCATGTGTGGGACGCAGGAAAAGACCCTGGGCCTGGCCTGCCTTGGCCAAAGGCAAATGCCTGAACTCTGGGCCTGGGCAGTGTCCCAGCTCAAGGCAAGCGCTCTACCACTTGAGCCACAGCACCACTTCTGGCTTTTTTCCTTTTTGCTTATGTAGTGCTGAGGAATCGAACCCAGGGCCTCATGTATGCAAGGCAAGCACTCTACCACTGAGCCACCTTCCCAGCCCCAAGCAAAGAATTCTTTAGCACTTCTTTTATGGCACTTTAGAAATCACTTGATTTGTTTGGTGGTTTGGAAATAAAAACCAAACAGAACACATTAAGCCTTTAATTTTAGAAGGGTTTAAAATGACTTTATTTATAACATATATTCTTAAAATCTTCCTCCAGACAAAGACAAAATTAGACATATCTCCTTATAGATGGATTATGTCAGAGAATTTTTTTTCTGGTCATGGGGCCTGAACTCTGGGCCTGGGCAGTGTCCCAGCTCAAGGCTAGCACTCTACCACTTGAGCCACAATGCACTTCCAGCTTTTTCTGCTTATGTGGTGCTGAGGAATTGGACCCAGAGCCTCATGCATGCAAGGCAAGCACTCTACCACTGAGCCACCTTCCCAGCTCCATCAGAGAAATGAATTTTGGTGAACACTTAGTCCCTTCAATAAGATAATTGGACGTAGACTGTAAAGACCCACATTTCAAATAAGATGGGCCAGTTACAAGAGGGCTTTGAAGAACCCGCTTCTGCAGGAGCTGCAGTGCAGCCTGAGGAGATGACGTGCGGCCAGTAGAGGGTGAGGTTCCATGAGTCTGACTCTGTAGATGCCATCCTGCTTTTGGAAACCACTTTCTTATAGTCAAGGACTTGGGGACACTCATTGTGGCATCTCATTGCTGTATCTTTAACCAAATATCTATAAAACACATATTTTTTTGCTGAGAAAAATGGTATTTTTCATATAAAACCTTTCCTTTCCAGGAACTTATTTAGGGCAATTTTGACATCCTTATTTCTCAGGCTGTAGATCATGGGATTCAACATAGGCACAACAATGGTGTAAAACACAGAGGACACCTTCCCTTGGTCCATGGAGCTGACTGAGGACGGCTGCAGGTACATGAAGGCAGCAGAACCAAAGAAGACAGCAACAGCGGAGATGTGGGAGCTGCAGGTGCTGAAGGCCTTGGACCTGCCCTGCGCGGAGCGAATGCGGAGGATGCTGGCGATGATGAAGATGTAGGAGCCCAGGATGGTGAGGCTGGGGACGATGATATTAAACGCACTGAAGCACAGGACCACTACCTCATTGACAAATGTGCTGGAGCAGGAGAGCTCCAGTAATGGGAAAAGATCACAGAAGTAATGGTTTATTACAT